GCCGAGCGGTGTGGGAGGAAAGACACCGGCCGCTCACAGCGCTCGTCCCGCAGCGCTCGGCCGGCTGTCATTTTCGCTCTGATTCCTTTCATCCCCGCTGGGCACTGCTCTGTGTCCCAGCGGGGATGAAAGGAATCACGGCCGCGCCGACAAAACGGCAGGAAAATGTCACTTTCGGCATTTAGCCGAAAGTGCCATTTTCGGCCGGCGCCCCCCCTTCACTTTTCGCCCGGGGCCCGCGCCCCTGCTGCCCCCCGGTTGTTACGCCACTGGTCAGCAATGGTAGCATATTTCCCTCAGTACAGGTTCCCTTTAATATTTCTCAAAGTTATGAGCTTTCTCCTCAAAATACAAATCCCTATTTTCTCAATCATATTAGTAAAATATATTTAGGTGTTGGGAAATTAAAAAAAGTCTTTGTTGGACATGCAGTACAGTCCTACTGGTGGAAACAATCAAGGTAAACTACAGACCCTAGCTAGGATTTGAATTCCCAGCTTGTAGGTTCGTTTACCCCACTGACTTTTCCAATGACCTGACTGGCAAATAAATGTTCTGTAATTTGTACTAGAAACATACCCCAACTGGTTGCTTGACTGGTCTGATGATTTTGAGATCTGCTGCAAATTAATTTGAAGAAGGAAGAAAAAGAAGCGTGAAGGAGCACCGCTACCGGGTACAAATGTGTGGGCGGGGAAACACGTTTCCCCACCCACACATTTGTGCCAGGTAGTGGCGCTCCTTCTTGCTTCTTTCTCTTCCTTCTTCACCATTACACATATTAGACACCTTGGCCTAATACAAATAGGAGCTGCACACCAGCCTTGGCACACCCCCACCAGGAGTGGGTTAACAACATTGGACTTAATTTTTTGTAACTTTCTGCAAATGATTTTGGTCTGAATGTCCAGATTGGTTAGGAGTTTTCCACCTTTGTCAATGTTCTTTTACTTTAATTGGCTCCAGTAGAGTAACAGACCTGTACCAGGCTTTTGCGATGACATTAGAATGTAAGTTCCTTGATTTTTGCTACCATAAAACATGTTAGTTATTCATTCTCCAGAAAATGACCCAAAGATTAAAGAAACATTTCCGCAGTTCTCTATATATAGATTGTTATTGATGTACTGTAGACACCTTGTACAATTATTTTCATTTTGGCGAGCCAATTTTACATCAATGGACAGTTCTGTTTGACTTTCTGATGTTAAATATTGCTTGGGGTACTATGGCAACATAACGCAGCAGCTGCAGGTGATCATTACCTCGAGTTAAGTTGAGCATTTCTAAGTAAAGCCAAGCAGTCCTCATATTTCTATCATCGCCTAATGGCTTGCATGAGTTTTTCTAAATGTTTAGGCTTCATAATTCTGCGGCAAGGACTTGCGAATCCAATTGGAATAAACCAAATAATTCCTGTCTCAGGGGGAACATCAATAGCTGAAGACATAGCCCTTTCTAATGAAATAATGAGTCACTGTGTGATGTGTCATTGTCTCACCGATGTGGCGATGCAGCGGATCTCCCTGATGTGCATCATGTGTTTCCCATTCCGCTTTCATAATGGGGAACAGGGATAAAGAACAAACACAGGTGGTTTCTCACAGAGATGGGAAGTCCCAAACTGAGCTGTCCAGGTTTCTTCCTAATGGTTTCAAGCTCATCTCTGCATTTCTGCTCATATTTCTGGCACTCATCATAGTCAGTGCTCAGCAGAGAATACCAGGCCTAATAAGATGGAATTTTGCGCAGCCAGAAAATGTTAAGGAAATATGCGTAACCAAGGTGTGCAAAAGCCATCCACGGCTAACCTCCAAGAACCTTTTATATTATTAATTTGTACAAATGCATAAAAGGTATTTTATTATTGCAGGTATTTATAAAGAGCCATCAAATTAAGCAGCTCTTTACACACAGGCGTCCCCAGACAGGGTGTCAGCCAGAGCGTCCCGCCGGGATGCCTTCACACACGCGGGTAATTATGTCAGGCACCGTTAACTGGCGGTGGCCATCCCGGTGACATTTATCTGGCGGGATAAGGTATGCCACTGGGTCCCCTCCTCACTTGTACCGCGGTCGTGCACTCTGTCTATGACCGAGTGCCTAACTTCTCAGACGGGGTGTCACCAAAATGACTGCCTCTGATGGTGTCACAAGGTGCGGGCTGCACCCCCCTTGTGACGCCACTGCCAATACACACTGACACTGTCCATTCATGTCAGTGCCTGCTCTCAAGCAGCTTACAATCTAAGATGCCTATCTCATATTTTGGAACTGCCGAGATGGCTGCACCCAGCAGTCTTAGGGCTATGTAGCGCTCACCCCTGAAGGAGCCGTTGAATGCCCGGTTCATCTCTAGTCTGTCTAGGGTATGATCTTCAGCTGCCCACCCATTAGCATTGCCCGCCCTTCTTCTAGTGCCCACAAAAGCTGATGTCCACTCCAGTAGTATAATGCAGAATAACTTTTATTGAACATCTTCACTGGGCAGAGAGGGTATAGGGGTTCTAAGCTTCCAGGGTATAACAGACTTTAACTCCAGACTCACCAGACCCGTTTGGCATATTAGTGTAGATCCACTTGAGAGGCAGCGGATGGCAACTGAACTAGCAGATGAGCACGGATGAACACAGATCCTCAACAGGAAAGACACCGGCCATGCTCCTGAAGTCCATAGGTTCCAGGAAACGTCAAGAGCCATCATTGGTCCTGGGTCTCTTCCTCTAACCGCAACACAGACCTCCTCCATGTTGGAGGTCTCAGGTAAACATTTCCCTCATACCAGCCTATGCCCACCCCCAGGTCTTAGGCCTAGCCCAGGGGGCAGGCTGATCCGCACCCAGCCCTATTCCATGGCTGGTCCCGGCTAGTCTGAGCACATGGCAAATCCCTCCAGTATATGCAAATCTCAGCATGCACCACTGGTTGAGAGAAACGCAGTGATTGGCTGCTGTACTGTACATACACTACAGTGTCTCTCATTGGCTGTACCACAATATGACAGAGTCACACTCCGCCCAGGGGGGTACAGGCAATGCCAGACACCTGGAATTAACCAGATAACTGCCACTATAAATCCAACCAGGCTGACTACAGCTCTGGCAATCACTAAATGTCTGGTAGCCACATCATAGAAGGTGATGGTGGCTACATCTGCAAAAGGGAAGTTTTTATTGGTAAATAAAATGCCTTGAATATGTTATATGCACATATGAGCTTATGGGAAGATATTTCTTAAAATGAATGGTCCGACGAAAGGGTCTCTTTAAATAATCTTCAGGCCAAATATGTACATTTAAAACACATGCACAAAAAATATTACTCCATCAGCGAAAGAATCAGCCCAATTCCAGACTTTTTGGATGTACTAATATTTTGTTTTTTCTTTGGTGTTTTATCATGGGCTGTGGTTTTGACATAGAAGGTTTGAGCATTGCTTGTCTTAACAGATTAAGAAGTGAATATTTGACTTACTTGTCGGTCACAGCTTGCATGAATTCATCAACTAGGTCATCGTATGCCTTCCCACGAACTCGCTTGTGTTTTACTCCAATATACAAGGGGTCATTCAGAAGTGTCTGCAGAAAAATAATAGTGATTTAGGTTATGTGGTGTTCATGTTGAGGTCCTATGCAGCTTTCCAGTGCCACTGACCCCCTTGGGATCTGCATAGAAAGTCATGTTGTTAAAGTGGAACAACAGTCACATCTAGCTACCTTGCCTACTGTGCTCCGTTAAAGTGACCCCGTCATTACTGCAAAGTTACTCGGGCAACACAAAGAACAATTAAAATAACTTTCCTTCAATCCGTGTTACTGAATGCCTCTCCATTCCCCCAATGGTCCCGACAACAGAAGACACAATTCCCACCCCTATACTAAATTCTTGAACTGTATTGTACATTTTATCCAAAGCTGAACTTCATGTAACGATACATAAATTGAGATTTACAAAAGGATTTTAAATTTATACAATATATTGTGTGAAGATTCAATCATAAATCCCCCTCCCATTCCTACTACTATGACCATGTTGCAATCTTTGGTGCACTTCTAAACTTGGAACCAGGGGCGTCCCGAGGCCGGGGTCACCCGGAGCTGAGACCGGGTGACACCCCGCCGTGACGTCATCGCGCATGCACGGTCATCTTACTGACGTCTTCCGGCGGACCTCTTGGTGATGGACGCCGGCAGAGAGGAGGGGAGGTTCACCTGGCGGGAGGTGATATGCCGCCGGGTCCCCTCCTCTCTCCTGACATTGTCAGTCTCTCGGTCAATGACTTCCCGACTTTTCAGAGGGGGTGACACCAAAATGACTTCCACCATGTCTTTGGAGTGTAGGAGGAAACAGGAGTACCTGGAGAAAACCCACACAAGCACGGGGAGAACATGCCAATAATATCGGATCGGGATTCAAACAAAGGACCCCATTGCTTCAATACATAAGTGCTAACCACTAAGCCACTATGCTGCCTCCCCGTTTACTCACTTTATCTGCACATGATTGGATAATTTCAAATCAATTAGTAAATCAGCCCACTCGCGGAGATACAACTATTCTCAGTACATAGCTTGTATCAACAGTGTAACCTTTTATCAGCCCTGTGCATGACACAAATGTATAAATAGCATTTTTTTTACTTTTTATTGGTTAGCCCTGACGATGGGTGAATCCTAGGAGGAAGCAGCCATTAAAAATCAGACTAGGGAAATAGAAATATCTTGCCTTGTAGAATTAAAGCATATGCACATCCAAAACCAAAATTGTATTATATTGCATTTTACCAGTCCATAGATCTGGTGGCTGCATTAGTTTCCTTTTATTCAGCCCCCCCCCCCCGCCCCCCTTTTTTTTCACCCAGTAATCCTGTAAAAAACATACTTCAGGCTAAATTCCTGAAGCATTACACAAGGTTGTAGTTCCATCACAGCTGGGGGGCGGAGTTTAGCTACCCCTGCTTTAGAGCAAGCAACTCCATATTGTACAATAATTCAGTCTAAGGGCCGGTGCACACCTAGGCAACACCTCACCGCGCCGCAATCATGCATGGAACCCCAGTCGCGCCGGGCAGATTCCGCCCATGCTCCTGAACACGATCGAGGCTAAAACAGCCGCGCTTCGTGTATCGCAAAAAAAAAAAAAAAAAAAAAAAAAAAAAAAAAAAAAAAAAAAAAAAAAAGGTACATGTACCTTTTTTCTGCGACTCCTGCGCGGATGTCACCCCATTGAAATCAATCCTGGATCGCGTAGGTCTGCACCGGGCCTAAGACCTCATTCACACAGAGATTTGTAGAGCGATTTCCGCTCAAAAATCGCTCAAATATGAAGCTCAATGTAGCTCTTCCAATGTATTTCAATGGAGATGTTCACATCTTGCACCTCAATATTGCCCGTAGCTGAAGCTTGTATCTCGTACATGAGCTATTTTTCGGCAGATTTCGAGCGATTTGGCCCCAATAGACGTTGATAGACTGCCAAAAGAAGCGCTACATAGCGTGACAAAATGTGCACTGTAGCTCAATGTCGCTCAGCTCAAATCAGCGGTGAAAAAGCGCTTATTTTGTTGTAGCTCAGTGTGAATGGGGTCTGATGTGCTTTCTCCAGGTATTCCACTTCTCCCGCTCTTGTACACAGAGGCCCAGAACTGCACAGTCTAGTCCAGATGTGGCGTGACAAGAGGCTCGTACAATAACTACACTTCCTTCTCTATACTTAGTACTAGTTAGTTTCCTCTGAAGGGTCCCCGCTGATACATGGACTAGTTTGGTCTAGCAGCACCTGCCAGCCCTCATCAAATATAATTAATAACCTGTCAAATGTATGAACCGCCCTGCGTTCTCCTGAGTATTTTGCCGTACGTGGAAAGACAACAATGTCTGCCAATTATTCTGACACTTCGAACTGCTATCACAGCAGAATAATGCTAAAAATGTCCTTTGACTATAGCGGTAACAAAAAACAGAACTCCCACTGTAATAAGTACAAGACTTCTGAATTCTAACTGTGATAAAGGCAAAACTCTATTATAGTTCCGGATAGAATAGTAAAAGATCAGAACCGCTGCCAAGTGTCCTCGTTGGGTAGATTTATTCTCACAATTAGTCCTGGAGATCACTGTCCTCAAGAAGAAATTTGCACCGGGGGAGTTCATGAATTAAAAATAGGATTTAAAATGTATATAAAACACAAAAATGCAATATATTGCAGCTTACAGTGCTTATGTGTGGTGGCCGCATTGGGTTTTCTTTTTAGGGCTTTTTTTGCCCGTTATTTATACCTGGTGATCCTTCCAATAACACACTTCCTGTTCTATAGTGACAATGCTCCCTTACTGTACTGTATCTATGAAGGAATAACGTCGTCACCCTAGGCTGCTCTCCTCTTATTATCTCCATTACAGTGAAGAAGGGTTTTGCAGATAGCTGGGAAAGCCGATAACATTCCCTGAGATCTTAGTTCAGTGCTCAGGAAGTTACAAGGATACTACGTTTCTAGAAGGATTTACAGGTATTTTCTGTACTTGAAAAAACAAAACTAATGCAGCCAACACATCTGATAAGCTGCAATGTATTACAATTTTTGTTTTTTAGATTACAGATTACATTTTTGCACCTTCTAAACTTTCAAAGAAGAAATCACACATAAATTGGGGCTTT